ACAGCACACCTACAGTGTGGAAGGCACATGCTCATGCTCTCACACGCGCACACACACACACACACACACACAAATAAGTAAATAAACATTTTTTAAATCAGAAAGATCTGAAACAAACTCATAATTCAACAAAAATTTGGTACAAAATGGATAAATTTCTAGGCATATCTGATCTGCTATTAAATCATAAAGATTTAATAATACTCAAAGTCATGTAATCAAGAGTGAAGGGCGATAAACAGTCACCCACAAAGACAGTCCAGAACAAGACAGACCCACTGATGGATTCAGACAAACCTTTAAGGAAAGTCAACATCAGTGTTTCTCAGTCTGTTCTATAAAGTAGGCAGGGAGGGAACACCACCAAACTCATTCTACAAGGGCCAGTGCTATCCCAACACCAAATCCAGAAAAGGATGAAACAAAGGAAGTTATAGATCAATTCTGCAATGAATATAGACAGATAGGCAGACACACACAGCACACATACACCTCTAAAATTTCTATAAACCAAATTCAAGAATACGACAAAAAGGTGCACCATGGCCAGGCTGATTTCATTCTAGGGATACATGCTTAGTTCAAAATGTGCAAATCAATGTGCTTCATCAGAACATACACGCAGACCTAAGGGTAGAAATCATATACAATCAATGAACATACACAGGGCTAATGGCAGAAATCATGTGATCATTTCAACCAATGCAGAAAGGCCTCTGGCAAGGTTCCCTGAAGAAATGGCTAGGAGAAAGAAGATACCCTAACATAATAAAGGCTGTCACAACAAAACTACAGCCAACATTACGCTAAACTGATAGCATAGTCTCTAAAATCCTGAGTGAGACACAGGTGCCCACTTTCTACTCTTAACTCTGTTTAGAGCTAGAAGTCTCAGCTCCATCAGTAAGAGGAAGAAAGAAAAGGTGAACGGTGAAGAAGTCAAACTGTGGCTCCTTGCAGGTTGACTGTCCATTATCTAAAAGGCCCTGAAAAGTTCATCAGAAAATTCTTAAAGCTGGTTAACACTTCATCAAAGCAGCAGCTACAAAAATCAACATGCAAAAACCAGTAGATTTGCTAGATGCCAGCAGAAAATGTTTTTTTTTTAAAAAAAATGAAAAAAAAAAAAAAAAAAAAAAACCCTGTGGAGCTAGAGAGAGCTGGCTCAGCAGTTAAGAGCATGTGTTGCTCTTGCAGAACCTGGGTCCAGTTCCCAGTACCTCCATGGTAGATCAAAATGAGTTTCAGAGGATTCCAGTGCCTTCTTTTGACCTGGGGCACCAGGCACACATGTCCTTTACATGCATACATGCAAGGAAAACACTCAAACACATAAATTGAAATAAATAGATCTAACCAAAACAATTTAAATACCCATGAGGTAAAAGTCCTCTACAATGAAAAGTTCAAGACACTGAAGACACTAGAAAATGGAAAAAAAATTGCCATGTTCAAAGACCAGAGACGTAATGTTGTGAAAAATGGCTGTTACTAAAAGCAATCTTCAAAAATCAATCCCAGCCCCATCAAATGAAATTCTTCACAGAACTAGAAAAAAAAAATCCACGTGGAAATAAAAAGACTTCAAACAGCTAAATCAATCCTACACCGAAGGAATAATGTTACATAAGAGATCATCATGGTGCTGGCACCTAAGCAGGTATGCAGGCAAGGGAATGGATCAGACGACTACACCCACACAAAGAGCCACCCAATGTCTGACTAGACGGTTGAAAACATCCTCTGGAGAGAGCAGTTGCGTTAATCCTGGGTGGACTCTCAAAGCAGAACAATGAAACCAGGCCCTTATCTCCTGTCTCGTGCAAAAATCAATTCAAAAATCCATTACAGACCTAACACAAAGTGCAAAAACTGCCCAGGGAATATACTTCAAGGTACAGGCATAGGCCAGGATCTTCTGGTGCTGATAAAGATGCTAAGTATGTAAGAAATAATCAAAACTTTTGACAAATGGGATTCTATGATGTTAAAAAGCTTCTGCACAGGAAAGAACACCATTGCCAGAGTGAAGAGATCTGTAGAGTGGGTAAAATGTGTGTCAGCCACATGTCAGATGACACTGAAAACTCACACATGGAGCCCCAGAAAATTAAACTCCAAAAGAATCAACTCGTCCAGCCAGAAAGTAGGAAGAGATCTTAAGGGGAGTGGGACACAGAAAAGGCACTAGAAACCCTGCATTCAGAAAGCAGAAAGGGAAAAGGGAGAGTAACTGGGAAAAGGAAGGGTACCAGCTGGGCAGGGGCAGGGAGTGCCAAGGAAGGCCGTGGAGGATAAAAGAAAACACGGAACGATGACACATGTTTGAACACACCACTATGGAATGATTTATTTTGTATGCTAACCTAAAAAATTAATTTAAAAAAAGATTGTCCTATATTCTGAAGTCATCAAGGATATTTTTATAGTCAATTTTCACATTTTCTTGTGGTTAAAAAGTAAGAATAACAAATAATCTCAAGACAAGTAGAGATGAAGACGAAAAGAAGAATTTTAGTTTTTAGTTCATTCCTTTCTGTAACATCTTTATGTTAGTGCTTTCATGGAAGTAAATGAATCAAAAATAAAAAAATTGCTTTTAATCTACACAGAGAAGCGCTGTATCTAAAAACCAAAATACACAAATTAATAAAACTACAAAAAAGACAAATCAGCATTCATCAAAACCATGACTGCCATTATGACGCCAATGAGAAGTGAATACTACAGAAGGGCGGAGTAAGGCATGGTGACACACACCTCTAATCCCAGCACTCAGGAGCCTGAGTGACATCCTCTCTCAAAAAAAGAGAGAGAGAAGCAATGTACAAAGGAAATTTTTGTACATTGGAAAATGCACAAACTTCTGAGCAAAATACAGTAAGGAAAGTAATAATAAATTTTAAATAAGTAACTGAGCCACTTGGGAGGACTCTGAACATTCCTGAGCCATACACATGCCAAGGAAACCATCCAAGGCAGCCTCTGGCTGAAAGAGTAAAACCAAGTTAGTTTCACTTTTCTCCAAATGGCTCTAACCAAGTCTGTGCCATTTCTTCAAGAATCCAAAGTCTAAGACCAGTTTTAAATGCTGGTCCTGCAATGCTGAGTGGGGGAGGAGAGCTGTCTCTCACCATGGACACCAGAAGCACTCTGCTGGTGCTGGACCTTCAGAGAGGCTCCTGCGTCCATCCTCAGCAAGTGCTTCCCTTCGGTCTCCCTGCATGAGAACTGAAGAAACCGCATAAACCTTGGCCTGTCCAATGCAGACAGGAGGCTTCTTGTCCCTGACTGAAACCGTGTGTCCCACAGCTGCAGCCACACACATTTTTTTCCTCGTTTCAATAAAACAAAACAAATATTTACCCAGAAGAGCATTGCACCAAGGGGAGGAGATCAGAGGAGTCATGGTGACCTTGGGTGTGAGCTAGGTCAGACAGGTGAAGAGCACATTGGAGAAGCAGAGATAAAATGGGAAAATGTTTTTTTAAGAACACTGGTCAGGCGGTGGTGGCACACGGCTTTAATCCCAGCATTTGGGAGGCAGAGTTTAAGGCCAGCCTGGTCTACAGAGTGAGTTCCAGGAGAGCCTGGGGTGTTATACAGAGAAACCGTCTTGAAAAGCCATTTAAAAAACAAATAAACAAAAGAACATAGGCCACATGTGAGTTCACAGGCAATGGGGAAACTGAGGCAGGAAAATTATTTTAATTAAAATACAAGCAGGAAGGATTCCGCCAAGAGATTACAAGAATGCACCTCCAACCTGCATGGAATGGTAAGGACTTGAGAAACAGGTCCCTCAGAGTCTCCTGAGAGCTAGGGTAAAGGGGCTGCAATCTGAGGTGGAGCGAGAAGGCTGGCAGGTCACGAAAGGGCGTGCAAGAGCAGCGTCTACCGAGCCACAGTCCCCACAGCAGTCTCCACGCCCACGGCTCTGTGAAGTGGAGGAAGAGCACTGAATCTGCTTCACTTGAGTTGATGAGGACGAGGCGGTCCCAGCCTCACGATCATCTCTCACCACTATCACCTCACAATTATTTCTCACAGTAAGATTAGCAGTCGTACCTCTTCAGAGGGTTCCTAATTTTAACTCTCTTTTAAAAGATATGTTCAGTTTTACTTTAGGTGTATAAGTACATGTGTGCCTGGCACACTCAGAGCTGAGAACAGAGCACTGGATCCCCTGGAACTGGAGTGACAGCTGGCTCTGAGCCACCACACGGGTGCTGGGAATTGAACAGCACCCTTCTGCAAAACCAACAAGTGCTCTTGACCTCTGAGACATCTCTCCAACCCCTAATTTTAACTCTCCTTAAAATTTTTGCTGGGGCTAGGCAGTGGTGGTGCACGCCTTTAATCCCAGCACTTGGGAGGCAGAGGCAGAACTCACAGAACTCTCTGTGAGTTCGAGGCCAGCCTGGTCTACAAGAGCTAGTGACAGGACAGGCTCTAAAAGCTACACTGAGAAACCCTGTCTCAAAAAAAACAAAAGAAAAAAAAATATTTTTGCTGGGTATCTGGGCATGGCCGCACAAACCTTTAACCCCAGCACTCAGAGAGCAGAGGTAGATAGAACTCTGTGAGTTCAAAGCCAGTCTGGTCAGATAGCTAGTCCCAGGCCAGCCACAGTTCACAGGGAGACCTTGTTTCAGAAAAAAAAACCTTAAAATTTTCTTTTAAAAATTTTGGGCCCAGTGAAATGTCTTGGCAGGTTAAAAAAAATTTTATGCAAGCATTGGAGCTTGAGTTTGGGGACCCACAAAAAGGGGGAAGGACAGAGCCAAGTTCAGGATTGTTTTCTGACCTCCACGTGTGTACTACGTCAAGTGCATGTCCTCACTCACACGTACATTACACGCACACATGAATAATAAACAAAATTCAAAACTCTAGGCAAATTCCAAGACGTATTTTAGAATATTGTAAACAAGTATTTAATATAACCTATGGAGAAAAAAATATTTTTTCTTTTATAATAAAATAAAATGCATACTTACTCTGAACAGTATTTCTTCGTTCCATTTTGGATTCAAAGACTAAAAGACAATAAACATAGTATAATTTATTCTTTAATAATTTGTCATATAAAAACAAAGTTTATTAAAAACTTTCGGAAGCTGGCTAAATCTAACCTTTTTGATAGTTTTCGTCTGAACGCTGGTGAGGACTCCACTCATCGGGTCGTACAATGTCACTCTCACGTACGGGTCACTGTTAAAAACAAAGGCGTTAGCAGTAGCTCGGTCCAACTGTCCACATGATCAGATTTCCAGAGCTTTCCTTGTTAACAGTTGCTACTATTTTATTATTTCTATTACTTCGTATCCTTAAAATTCAGGGATCTGTACACAGGCTAAGTATTTGCAGAAACTTACATTTTGTTAAAAAGCTTATGTACCAAGTCAGTAAAACAGGCAAGGATTTAGAATGCAGATCTCTTACCCACGGTTCTGGTGTTCTACAAACTTTTTAGATATTTTAAAAATGTCTTTGATCCTTACTGTCCCTTTTGAACGCAGGTGGCTAATTGAGGGGTTGTAAAACTAGCTTTTCAAGACCACAACTGTTTCCAAACCATCTCACAGCATAAACCTTGTTTCATAGGAAAGGCCTGCACACACGTGGTACACATCAACTCACACAAAACATGCACAAATACACATAACTGAAAATGAATAAATCTTAAAATTTTAAGTCTTCAAACTAAGTTAAATCTTTAATTACATTAAAATAAGATGAACTGCAGTTAAAAATGATTACACCTTTCCAAGCACGGTGGGGCACACGTGTGTGTGTGTGTGTGTGATGTATGTAGGTTCCCTGGAGCTAGAGTTACAAAGCTTCCTGACAAGGTAGTGGGAACCAAACTCAGGTTCTCTGCAAGAAAAGCAAGTGCTCTTTACTGCTGAGCCATCTCTCCAGTCCGGGAACCCTACTAAAGGAAGACATGGAAGAGGACATCTTGTGACACATGGGCTTTGAAGAGCAAAGACCGAATGAGGACATCTTAGTCAAGCCACAGTCAAATCTCCCTTTCTCTCTGAGTATCACAGAGCTAGTGCTGACCCTTCCCACTACTTACTCTCCACCACTCCCCTTGTTTCCTCATAAACCTTCTCATTTTGATTTACAAAGCCCACTCCCAACACTGACACTAATTAGAACCCACCTCCTTCTGGTCCTGTGTGGGGCGGATTCACTTGTTCAGCGCCCTCCACCTCAGAAGCCCGAATCAGGGCACTTCACCAACTCCTTTATCCTCCGGTTTTCCCTTTGATCTAGTTTTATGAGGTTGATCAATGCATTTTGACACTCCTCCGTTGCTGACTCCCCCTCCATCCTCTAGCAAAGTGGAACATGTTTTTTCTTCCTTTCTCAGCTAAACTTTACAAGAGAATGTTTGGTAATAACACTTAGACAGCAATTACTCCACATCAAACACTGTTCAAAACAGCTTTTGTGGATCACGGTCAGCTATTATTCTTTTCTCCAAGTTGTACAGGGGGATACTGGGGCTGAGCTACAGCACCTGCTCCACAGAAAACAGGTCTCAACCAACACAGTGACCCCCCTTCCTCCCTTCATGTCCATGGCTCTCTAGAACCACGAGGTCTAGTTCTGTCTCTGTCCTCAGATCTATTCTGAAAATGCTTTGAAACACTCATCTCTCAGTTCTTACACCATTCTAAATTCCTTTTTTCTTCTTCTCTTCCTGATGTGTTATTCGTAGCCCTGATGGCCTTAACCTCTCTGTGTAAGTGAGAAGGACCCTGACTCTCCTGCCTCATCTCAAGTGCTGGGATTACAGGCGTACAGCACCTCATCCAGTTCACTTGGTGCTGGATGGGACCAAACCCAGGACTTGGTGCATTCCAGGCAAGCTGACCTATGTCCTCAGCCCCTCTCTGTCTTTTCTATCATCTGCTAGTTTCATGGTGATATTCCCTGGCCTCCTGTTTTCTACATTTCCCTTCTAATTTTATCTATAGCTTTTACAACTAACTATATAATGTCAAATAAAAACTATAAAAATTGCTGGGCATGGTGACACTCACCTTTAATCCCAGCACTTAGGCACATCTCTGTGAGTTCAAGGCCAGCCTGATCTACATAGGAGCTCTAGGTCAGCCAGGGCTACACAGTGAGACCATATCAAAAGAGAAAAAGAAATCTAACTCTAACCTACCACACAAAGATTGTCATTTAGATATTTTATACTGTCTGTCCCATTCAGTGATTCTGCTCATTTTTAATTCAATATTTTATTTTATTACTATTGAGTTATATGACATAAAAGATAGTTAAAATTAAAGGTCTTGTCAGATGTGTGACTGCGTCTTGACTGGTATGAACATTTCCTCTGAGCTATCTCTTAGGTCTTTATGTATACAATTCATTGGTGATAGTCTGGGGTCAGCGAGAGGGCTCAGGGGGTAAAGGCCCTTGCCAAGAATGAAAACTTGAGCTCAATTCCCCCAGAATCCACATGGTGAAAGAGAGAACTGATTCATATGAATTGTCCTCTGGCCTTCATCTACATGCCATGGCATGGCATGTGCATATTTACACATACACAGAATAAATACAACAAGGCAGTCTTCTATTTCCTTCTTTTTCCTCAGTGTGGCTGATTTACATATTTACTTCCTGGGGACCACACAACGCAGTTAGTCAATAAATGAGCTCCCACTGAACCCACACTCAGTATGGAATGTGCAGACACGTCACAGCGACCATGGCTCAGGGACAGAACAACACCATGATACTCACGGCGGCTTGCTCTAAACTCCATCAGTTAGAACTCCGTGATAGAAATTAACGTGGGCTATATGTGCCCTGAACCCCAAAGTCCTCAGCCTGCAATGCCCTCACCTATATACACTAACACATACCTATACTCCGAGGGCCTCCCCTGTCCACTTCATTCTTCCCTCTGAGATCTATTAAGCTATAAACTGTTTCTGTGATTTTGGTTTTGAATGTATCTGGTTTAACAACTTTGACAGGCATGAGTGTTGTTATCGATTACTATAAAACTTTCTATCTTCCCTTTTATTCTGTCCAATTTTGAGCACTACATCTCCAACTTCTATTGACAGGCATATACCTATTTCCAACTATTACAGATTTCTGATGTTTTTATTATTATTGGCAAATATTTGGAAACAGTTTCATGTTGAACCCTTATTTCATCAGATTTCAATGTATTCACTTTAATTTTTATCCCAGTTTTGAATCCATTTTTCCCAACTTAGGTGTGTCACTGTATTTTAAGTATATCTTTCTTTAAAGAGTTGCTTCATTGTTTCTATGTACAGGCATGCAGTGCCTGCAGAAGCCAGAGAGGGCAGTGGATCTCCTGGAGCTGGAGTTATAGACAGTAGAGTCAGCTGATAGAGGTGCTGGAAACCAAACTCCAGTCTTCTAGAACTTTTAACCCTGAGCCGTCTCTTCAGCCCCTTAAGTTTTGCCAACACACCCTCTACTTCATGGCAGGCCCCTTCTGCACTTCCTGCCCCCATACATCCCTCACTACCAGGGATTCAATACAGACCACGCCAGCCCTGGATTTTTGAAGTTGTTACTATACAGCACAGGCTGGCCTAGAACTCACAATCCTACTGAAGGCTGGAATTACAGGAATGGGACACCATGTCTAAAGAATCTTACTTCCTAATTTATTGTAATAACCTCTACTTTGTGTTTCTTTCCGCTACTGTTTCTGGATACAAGTCAGCAACTCCTTATGTTTTCCTTTCCTTGTCCTGCCTCCTTTATTTAAAAAAATAATAATTTGTTTTGTACTGGCTTTTTAATTTTTTCAAGAACTTTATTTTTAAATTTTTGCTTTTACAGACAGGCACAGTAGAGCACACCTTTAACACCAACACTCAGGAAGCAGAGGCAGGGAGATCTCTGAGTTTGAGGACAGCCTGGTCTACAGAGCAAGTTCCAGGACATCCACGACTACAAAGAGAGACCCTGTCTTGAAACAAACAGACAAACAAATAAAGACCCAGAAACAAAATTTCTGCTTTTGCAAAACCTTTAATTCTTTGCATTACTGTGGATGATTTATTTATGTCTTCTACTACATACCCTTAATGACTCCCTTTACCTATGCATTCTATTACACCATTCTTCCATACAGGTTCACAGCAGACACACGGACAAGGTACAGCCCAGTCCTATAAGCTGTAACTGCCATGGGCATTCCTTTTATCTATAGTACAAATCCGTAAGACAAGGTTGTAAACCATGATTCCAATGAGCCCACTATATGGTCTTACAAGGAACCCAGGTTTGATTCCAGCACAAACACGGCAGCTCAAAACCATCTGTAACTGCAGTTACAGGAGATTCAACACCCTTGCTGACCTCTGCGGACATCAGGCACATACACATACATACACAAAGACAAAACACCCACACATATAAATCAAAATCTTAATTTAAAAAAAGTGTGGTTCTAAATATTTATTGTTTCTGATGCTCTTTTCCTTTCTGAGGATTTGAGTTTCCCTCTGGCATCAATTCTCTCCCACCAGGAGCAAGTTGCTTTAACATTTCTTCCTTAGAAAGACTTAAGTTATGCGGATGCATGTGGGTGCTGTGCCTGTGGAGGCCAGATGAGGGCGTCAGATCTCCTGGAGTTGGTCACAGGCAGTACACCGGAAACGGTCTTCTGTAGGATCAGTACAGGCTCCTAATTGCTGAGCCATCTCTCCAGCCCGATATTTTCGATAATAAAAAATTATATGTATCACTGATTTCACTTATTCTCTTTGTTTGTTTGTTTGTTTTTCCAGACAGTGTTTCACTGAGTATCCCTGGCTGTCCTGGAACTCACTCTGTAGACTAGAACTCAGAGACCCACCTGCCTCTGCCTCCCAAGAGCTGGGTTTAAGGCATGCACCGCCACTGCCTGGCTTGAACACTTACTCTTCAAAAATGTTTTATTTCATTATTTAGCTCTCCATCCTTTCTGCATCTTAGTTATGACAGATTGTTCCTTCATATCTATCATCTTCTAATTGCCACGAGACTCCTCTTGATGTAGGTTCAGTTCATCTTTGCTCTGCTTTGCTTTGCTCTGCTACCACAACCACCCAAGCATTTTAATTTCAAATACTGTACTTTAGCTGCAGAATTTTCCTTTTATTTTATTATTTATTTATTTTGGCCTCTACTTCATTCATGAGACTTGTAATGTTTTGACTAACAATGAGCATACAATTAACATACATTCTTTCTTTTCCTTTTTTTTTTTTTTTTCTTTTTTTCCCCTGAGACAGTGTCTCTCTATGTAGCCCTGGCTGTCCTGGAACTCATTCTGTAGACCAGGCAGGTTTCAAAATCAGAGATCTGCCGGCCTCTGCCTCCCGAGTACTGGGAACAAAGGCGTGCGCCAACACCTCCTGCTCACATATTCTTTATCGACTCAGTGTGTTCCACTTCCCTGGCTCTTTACAGAGCAGGTGATTCCATGCTGTACCATGGACACTGTAAGCTGAGCTACAGAGACTCTGGGTTCTGTGATTTTCCTCTGTTTATCTATCTTATTTGGACAAGGGTCACAAACTCTGTTGGGCAATGACTCTCTGCTCAGATCTTTTGACATCAGCTGAGAGTCCAGCTTCTTTTCTTGCAGAATCCTCACCACTGCCACTCTTACTTCAGATTCATTCCTGCCGTTTCTCCACCACAGGCCCCACCGCGCCAGATTTTCCGGCTCTGAAGACAACCACTGCTCCAGTTTGTGATTCCATGCAGCTTCAGAGTTACTCTCCCCCTCCCCGCCAGACAGGGTTTCTCTGTGTAAATCTGGCTGTCCTGGAACTCCCTCTGCAGATCAGGCTGGCCTCGAACTCACAGAGCTCCACCTGCCTCTGCCTCCCAGGTGCTGGGACTGAAGGCACGCACCACCACCGCCCGGCTCAGACTAATTTCCGCAATGGGAAGGACTCTCCACTTCTTTTCTGCAGGTATGGATCTCTACTAGTATTGCCCTGCTCTGTTGAGCCTACGCTCAGAGAACCACTTTTTATATTGTATCCAGAGATGATGGTTGTTATCGGCTAAAGGATTTGGAGAAACAGAATCTTATAAATTTCTGGGAGTAGAACTCAATAATAAATTCATATTTATCTCTGTTTTTAATTTGACAAATTCAGAAATTCAGATACAAAAAATATAATCTTCACTGTGCATCAATATTTGCTAATATTATCATTCCAATTTTTATTTAATCAAAGTTCAAGAAAAAAAAATAAGAAATGCCAAATTTTAAAATCTCAACTCATATACTATACTTACCTGGCTCCCAAGATGTCCTTCTTGGCCAGGCCTATGCCAGCAATAACCTTCACTCTCACAACTCGCGTGTTATCCTAAAATACACAATGTTCTGTTTTAGTTTTAGATAATTGTAAGTTATCAAATACAAAAATACTAAAATTATAGAAATCTTTTAAAATAATATGATTAAAACTACATAAAAGAAAATAAAAACAGAAATTGCTATTTTTAGCTATAGTTGATCACATACAAAAGAGCTAGTTATTACAATCATTAAGAATTTGACATTTTTAAAAGAAAATCTAATGACAAACTGTAAATAATGAAGTTACCACTGTTGCTGTGTTCATAACATAAAATCAAAAGCTCACAGTCATTTATAATAACTACCAAGAAAAGGTAATTATTCTTAAAGTCTCATCAAATATGTATAAATAATAGCATAGTTAATACAGTATACTATGTCAAATACCAGTTACTTTGAATATCATAGTGGAATGAGATCTTATAGGATAATGTCTTCATCTTAAGAAGGACGTATCATCTGAGGGAAGCTAGGGGGAGGAGTCAGTGGGGAAAATGTGATCCAAATATAATACAAATATACGGCTGGGTGTGGTGGTATACCACTTTAATCCCTGGGAGGGAGCAATAGGCAGATCTCTTTGAAATTTGAGACCAGCTTGGTCTAGATAGTGAGTCTCAGGCTAGGCAGGATTATACAGTGAGATCATATCCCCAAAATTATAAATAAGGGAAGAAAGAAAAAGAAAACTATGGGGTTGGAGAAATGACTGAGCAGTTAAGCTCAGAAGTGAAGAGCATTAACTGCTCTTCCAGAGGACCTGAATTCAATTCTCAGCACCTACATGGTGGCTCACAACCATCTATAACTTCAATTCCAGAATCTGAAGTCTTCTTCTGGTCTCTAAGGACACTAGGAACACACACGGTATACAGACATACATACACACAAAACACCCATACACATAAATAAAAATTTAAAAACATACATTGTGGGGCTGGAGATACGGCTCGTCGGATAAGAGCAAGTGATCCTCTTCCAGAGAACCTGGATTCAACTCCCAGCACCCACATGGTGGCTCACAACCGTCTGTAGCTTCACTTCCAGGGGATCCGACACCGTCTTCTGTCTTATCCAGGCAAAACTCCCATACCCATAAAAATAAAAAAAGAGATTGCATGAAATTATCAATCAATTAATAAAAATGTTATACTTTCTAAAGAGATACATATCAAAATATTTAGGAAGAAACAACACAAATTCTTTAACTTACTCTCAAATGGCTTAGCAAATAAAAAGTTGGGTGTGAGTCTGTCTGTCCATGTGTAAATAAAAAGGAATGAACACAATGTTATCATGCTGTGGCCTGAGTTCATGGCTATAGAAGCATGTGTCACACCCCTCATAACTCATTCTATAGGTTAGAAATAGTTCAAATCTAAAGAGGGTAGATATGGATTCATTTTGGCTACTGGGGGGAAAATACCCCAACCAAAAGCAACTTAGGGAATTTACTTGGCTTACAAATTCCTCAGTCCACTGTGGAGGGGAAATCAAGGCAGAGTTCAAGCAGCTACTCAACATGTCACATCCACAGTCAAGATCAGAGACTGGGTAAACACAGCCTTGCAGCCCTGAGCCACCTTTCCCACTGTCACACTGTCTGGGACCCCTGCCTAAGGAATCTGCAGGACAGTTTGTATAAGAAATATTTCCATAAACGGCGCACAGCCTGGTAACGCTGTGTCCATTCTCTTTTATTTATACACGCACAGACATATTCACGTCTAACTTTTTATTTTATGTATGCTGGCTAGTTTTATGTCTACTTGACACAAGATAGAGTCATCTGAGAGAGGGAACCTCAATAGAGAAAATGCCTCCTTAAGATCAGGCTGTAGGGCCAGGCAGTAATGGCAGCTGGGTGGGGCAGTGGTGACGCACACCTTTAATCCCAGCACTTGGGAGGCAGAGGCAAGTGAATCTCTGTGAGTTCGAGGCCAGCCTGGTCTACAGAGTGAGTTAGTTACAGGACAGCCAGAGCTGTAACACAGAAACCCTGTCTTGGGGAGGGAGGGGTAGTCAGGCTGTAGAGAAACCTTTAAGACATTTTCTTAATTAGTGATTGATGTGGGAGGGTCCAGCCCATTGAGCGTGGGGCCAACCCACGGCTGCTATAAGAAGCTGGTCCTGGGTCTGTAAGAAGGCAGGCTGAGGAAGCCATGAAGAACAAAGGCATTAAGTGGCCTCTACAGATCAGCTCCTCCAGGTCCCTACCCTGTTTATGTTCCTGCCCTGGGTCCTTCACTGATGGACTGGGATGTGGAACTGTAAGCCACATAAACACTTTTCTTCCCCAACTTGCTTTTGGTCATGGTGTCTCTTTACAGCAATAAGACAGTAACTAAGACACTAAGCTGTTTGAGAGTAAGTTACTGGAGATGTGAGCCACCAACAATGGACTGGGTCTTCTTACAATAACTAACAGTCAAGACAACCCCCACAGACCTGCCCACAGGCCAACCTGATCTAGATCATTCCCCATGAACAGCCTTCCCCCTTATTAGTACATGGCTTTAACACCAGCACTCAAGGGATAGAAGCAGGCAGATCTGTTTGAGGCAAGCCGGGGATACCCAGTAAAATCTAGCCCCCCACCCCACCCCAAGAGTATTTAAATTGTACAAGAAACAGAAATAAAAATAATAAAAATGCACAAACTTCAATAAGGTTAAACATACTGTTGAAGGACACAAGGGATATAACAGAGATATTTCCTCTGCTTGTGGGTACAAGTATTTAATAATCTAGAAATCCAACACAATTTCAATCCCCAACACTTTGAATTTTTTGTGGTCTTAACAAATGATTTGAGCGAAAACAAGAAGTTAAAGATGGCACCTCTTCACCATCTCACACAACATGCATAAGAAACAAAATTCTCTGGTCAATGGTGGCACGTTCTTTTAATCCCAGCAGAGGCAGAGACAGGAGAATCTCTGAGTTCTGAGTTCAAAGTAGCCTGGTCTACAGAGTGTGTGCCAAGACAGTCAGGACTGTTATACTGAGAAACCCTGTCTTGAAAAGAAAAAGAAAAGAAAAAAAGAGAGAGAGGGAGAGGGTGGGGGAAAGGAAAAGAGGGAGGGAAGGAGAGAAGAAGGGAGATGAGGAAGGAGAGAGGGAGGGAGGGAGGCAGGGAGGGAGGAAAGAAGGAAAAGAAAAAACAAAATTCGCTGGTCAGTGATGGCACACCTTTGATCCCAGCACTCAGGAGGCAGAGGCAGGAGGATCTCTGAGTTCGAAGTGAGCATGATCTACAGAGTGAGTTTCAAGACAGCCAGGGCTACACAGAGAAACCCTGTCTCAAAAAACCAAAAAAGAAAATTAAACAAAAATTCAGTTAAGACTAAAGTGAAAAAGAAAACGTTAAAAGTTCACAACAGTTGGCAAAATGGCTCCATGGTACTGCTGCCAAGCCTCCTGACTTGAGTTCATATCCTGGGTGGGACCCACACTATGGGAGAAGAGAACTGACTCCCATAAATTGTCTTCGACCTTCCATGCGTGCACTATGACACTCAAGCACTCATGACACACGCGCTCACACACACACACACACACACACACACACACACGTTAAGTTTAATTTTTAAAATTTCAGAAAAAAAATCACAAGAGTTTTATCATATTTCTATGAAGTTGAGTGGGAAAGAAGCAGGGCTGGAGACACAGCTACACTGGTGGAGTGGTGCATGCGGACACGTGGAGTGCAGCCTGACACATCCTGAGCTTTAATCACCCTGCCTCCAACTCCCAGACTACAGGTGTGCACCAACACCCCCATAAACCAGGCAGGCACATGACCAATAAACCAATAAACCTGTATCTCCAGTCTTAGACACTGGCATTCTTTTGCTATGGTTTACTTTCATTATTTTTAATTATATGTGTGTATGTCTGTATGTGGGTCCCTGTGAGGGCCAAAAGAGGGTAGTTCCTCTGGAGCTCAAGTTACAGGCAATTGTGAGCTGCCCTATGAGAGTGCTGGGAACTGAACCCACGTCTTCTACAAGAGCAGTAAGGATCTTACTGCTAAGCCTTCTCCCCAGCCCTCAATATTGAAATTCTTTTGTAGGAAAATTCAATACTCACATATGGATGCCTGTAAGCAGAAAAAGCCAAGAAACAAAGTAGTGACCTTTTTGACTCTATCCCCATATCTACAGTAAGTACATATAAAAAGCCTACTGCTGTGGAATAATTCTTTTGTACACTGTAAAGATTTGTCATTCAAATTTAATAAAAAGCTGATTGGCCAATAGGATTTTTGGGGTAGAGGGAATGCTGGGAGGAAGAAGGGTGGAGTCAGAGGAGTCACCAGCAATCACAGAGAGAAGATGGACATGTCATACTGAAAAAAGGTAACAAGCCATATGGCAAAGCATAGATAAGAAATATGGGTTAATTAAAAATGTAAGAGTTAGCTAGAAATAAGCCTGAGCTATTGGCCGAGCATTTTTAATTAATATTAAGCCTCTGAGTGGTTATTTGGGAGCTGCTCAGGTACAGAAACTTCCACCTACAACCTACTTCTCACAAACACTAATGAGGAAACAGTTACCAACTTCATAAGACCTGGCAGTGCCCCTTTGGAAGAAGGCTGGAAGGACATCAGGTAACAATCCCCAGGACCTCTTCCTTTCCTACCAAAGACTGGTGAGAACTGCCTGGCACCTTTAATCCCAGCATTCTCATGGGAAGCAGAGACAGGCAGATCTCTAAGTTCAAGGCCAGCCTGGTCTACAAAGAGTTCCAGGTTACATAGTGAGACCCTGTTCAAAAATGAAAAGGGTGATGAGAATTGTTTTCCACTGCTGTTAATCCTGAGTGACCATCGTAGCAAGCTGTGCAAATTACATTACACTTCTTCATGTAGGCTAATGCTCTAATGGTAAAATGTCTGCAAATAGGACCTCTTTCCACAGGATATACATAGAAGACCTAAAACTCATCATAAAGTAGAAGAGGAATTAGATCCAACTTCAACATGCTTTAATAACATTGGCCAGTGAGTCAGTGCCTAATCCCTGTGGAAGATTAAACTACAATTCTCTACATTCCATGCCATTTCTATTCATTTTTCTCCTTGTTTCAAATTTGTTCAAACCTATTTCTTTTTTTTTAAGATTTATTTATTTATTATGCATACAATGTCCTGATTGCATGTGTATGCATGCAGGCCAGAAGAGGGTATCAGGTTTCATCACAGATAGTTGTGAGCCACCCATGTGGTTGCTGGGAATTGAACTCAGGACCTCTGGAAGAGCCATCTGGAGACAGCTCCTAGAATAGCTCGGGTCGGTCTTACAGTCAGGTGATTGGCTCTCAGCTTCCCAAGTGCTACAGTTATAGACGTGAGCTATGATGACCCACTAGATGACCTTAGACCTCCCCCCCTCCCCCCGACAAGGTCTCTCTATGAAGCCCAGGCTGTCCTGGGCCTTGCTATATAGACCATACTGGCCTCAAAATTCACAGAATTCCTCGTGCCTCTATCTCCCTGGTACTGGGATTAAAAGCACGGGCTACCACATCTAGTATATGCAGTATATCCATGGCTTCGGGCACATGAAGCAAACACTCCACCAATTAAGCCACACCCTCAGCCCAACCACTTTTAATCAACAGCAGAGGGCTGCCTACCCCCCAGACTTGCCTATGAGTTCAAAAGGTAACATAGCTACCATGTTTCCATCTTTAAATAAAGGGGAGGGGGTATGGTATGTGTTCCAAGCCCCCATTTAGTTTTGTGATAAACCAGAAAACCAAAACCAAATGGCATCAACGAGCTGCCAATTACAACCAGAAAGCAAGTACTTCTTCTGTCTTTTCCACCAGACAGTAAACTCCTTGGAGGCTGGCAGTCTTTTATTCCCTCAGACTCCCTGGTGCTTGGCACAATGCACACAGAACACTTAATGAACGTCTGCTGAGTAAATATTAATAACCCAATTACCACCGCAAAGGAGGATGCTCACCACCATGTCTGTCTCTATCCTGCTCCCTCACTCTCTTCCTTAATGTGCACAAAGCAGACACAAAAAGATGGAAGGAAATCTGAGTCATGAGATGCACATCTAGACCTTCATCGTGGGGCTATCAGAGTCCTTACTAACAAAGTAGAGTTCTTAGCCCCAGTTGCTGCTAAGCAACTACTATGGCTGCCGCACAGACCATGAGTTCAGCTGGGCAGATGAAAGCGATAATTAGGAATCCAGATCCTGGGCCAAGAGGGAGAAAAGAGATGGCGAAGATAACTTTAGCAATATTTAGTCTGTGAGCAGCTGGCTTTGCTGGAAGGAGGTGAGAAGAGCAATCTGGGAGAGCCAGCCCTCAGGAAGCAACAGAAAGCCCAAGGATAGGGTGGGATGCCAGCTTGAGGTCCTCCACACTGGATGATTAGGCAGCAATGGATGATCTCCTTCTAACTCCTTCGACACAACAATAATGGGGACTAGTCAGACTGTCACACCTAGCTAGAGCAGGCTGAGCACTGAGTTAGTAGAGTCATCCGCCTGCCCGCCACCACTGTCTCAGCATCACCCGAGAATTCAACTCTCTTCTAAAGGTTTACTTATTTGAGTGCATCAGTGTCTTGCCTACATGTATTCAAATGCATCTTGTCCATGCCTGACTTCCACAGAGGTCAGAAGAGCATCATTTCAGATGGCTGGAAACCACCATGTGGCTGCTGGGAACCAAACCTAGGTCCTCTGCAAGAGTAGCAACTGCTCCTAACGGCTGAGCCACCTCTACAGCCTTTCCTGCAACATTCTGAAGTATACAGACATTCAACCCACCATGCATTTAACAGTCCAGGAGGACTAACTGCTCCCAACTATGACTCAATACCCACTATTTTGCCTTTGTCTGCCTCTCTCCCCCACTGCTCTTCTGGGTCTCTGGTAATCACCAATCTACTCTCAACTTTTTAAATAAAGAACTATTCTTGTGTGTGTGTGTGTGTGTGTGTGTGTGTCCGCGCTCTTGCACAGGTGCCACAGAGACTGGAAGAAGGTATCAGATCTCCCGGGGCTGGAATTACTGAGTAGCCCCATGAAGTGCTGAGTACTGAACTCTGGTCCTTTGTAAGCGCTCTTAACCACTGAGCCATGTCTCCAGCCCCTCTACTCACAATTCTATGACAGAAACTTTTTAGATTTCACGTGAGTAAAATCTTAAAGTACCCATCTCTCTAAGATGGCTTATTTCACTTAATATGGCTTCCATTCCACCCATGTTTTTTTTTTAAAAAAAAAATACAATCATCGTCTAAGAAATCAAATTCTAACTGCAGCACAAAAAAAGGTTCTCAAAATACCCTGCAATAATTATTAGACATTAATAAAGTGTTCTCTGTTTATAAACAAAAAGCTTTCGGAGAAGTGGGGGGAATTGGAGGGCGCCGACTATTACAATAGTGTTTGGAGGTACCTGAGAAAGAAACAGAAATTGGGGGTTGGGGATTTCCAGCTAATTGGGTACAATCTTGATAAAAAGCTACATGTGATCGCTAGATTAAGTAACAGGAATTCGCAGATTTGATTCGCATACACCACACACACACACGCGCACACATACGCACGCACGCACAATCTGAAAGGGTCACTGTTAAACACTACGAAGCCTTTAATGCCCCACCCATTCGAGACAACCGCCAGCTCCATCGAAGCACTCCTCAAGAGGGCCTCACTTTTAGTAAGCGCGAGGCAAAGTCGCGATTAAGTTGTTCGACTGTTAACAGACTGCTTTGCCTGCTTCAAATCCTGGGGCTGCAGTTTTCGAAGCCAACAGCTGTGGGGGGGGTTCTTTCAAGTATTTCTACTTCTTTTGCCTTCATTTTTTGAAAAAACCCTAACAAAGGCCTTGAAACAAAGTGTGAACTCCCCACATCTGACACTTGCCGCGGAGTCGAAGGAATCCCACCTCCCCGCGTTCCCACCCGGGCCTCTGGGAAGCCATGGTAGGAAAGTCGCTAAGTTCTGTCGGCTCTCGCTGCGGCAGGAGCGGGATGCTGGGCCCCGGGATGTCGCCCCACCCAAG